CTTTCTTTCAGACAACAGAGAACTCATTCCACTTCTGTCATCCCCCACTTCGGAGACTCGCAGTGACGGCAGAATAGTTGGCAAAGATCCCACATTTGACCATCTTTTAATCTTCCCCCTTTACCTTTCGCTTATTATCTTTGCGAAAGGCTCCGCCAAAAGCCGGCGGCGTGGAACTTCGCCAACATCTCCCTCTCCAGCTCCGCTAACTCCGGCGATGGCGACTCCGCCGGATACGTCTCATTGAAGCTGGACCTTGCCAGAAGGACCCCATGGTAGAGACTGAAATCGTCGTCGCCGCGAAAGACGCCGGCTTCCGTCCTCCAAAGGCCGGTTTTGGGCTTCGTGCTCGCCGCCCAGCGATTCCTCCTCAGCCGTAGCGCCCGCCGCACGAGACCCAAAGGCAGCTTCAGCACCACCACGATGAGAAGGTGCACCAGGCCGCATGGGCAACAGCAACAGAGCGCTGCGAACCCCGCCGTCGTGGCACCGGCCACCTCCGCTAGAGATGCTCGCCGCTTCGCTGGCTCCTTTGCCATCATCTGAGGCCGGCGGCCCATGGCGGATAAAGCGGGCTTCGCCGGCGGAGGGGGAAGTGGCCGGTGAACAGGCTTGCGCGCCATCTCGCCCTCTCGGATCACAATCAGACGGCTCAGACGAGATACAGGTATCACCTTTGTGCAAATCGAAGCGTAACTCAGTCGTGAGGGCTTGAGGCCGCCGCTTTCCGGCGAGGTACCTCCGGCTATCTCGCTGTAGGGGAAATGGAGAACGAGAAGCAGCCGAACCGAAACGCTCGGAAGAAGAATTAAGCGCAGGGAGCGTGACGGGAATACTGGCCGTGTTATAGCAACCGGGGGCGAACGCAAGGGAATATAACATTCCCGCGGAGCAGCATGGGTAGCGTCTCCCAGAAGAAAGACTCGTCCACGTGCACTTCTCCTACCGTTGCTGCAGCCGAAAGAGAACTAATTGTGGCGCTGCCTATGGAGTCATTTAGTAGACTTGATGTTGCACCGCGGGACAAGCGACGTGACACGGTGGGAAATGGATGTAAATGGAGCGACGCGTGGAAGAAGACAAGAAACCCAAGCAACTCCGGGGATTACACCCTTCGCTCCACGTGAAACATGAAAGCAACAGCGGCCCCACGGAGTGGGTACAAATGTGTGGTGCTGCGGTCTATAACGGAGTTTGCGGCTAAATCTTGCGTCCCGTGAACCGAGCTGCCCGGACAAATCTGGACTGCACACGTGTGGAAACCACGTGGTTGGCTTGACTGCGACCATGAAATCACATCTCCGTCAACAATGCTGCCAGAATGCATCGATGCTAGGTTCATCCCTGCAACTCGTAGAACTCTACACAGCTGGCCTTGGTTTCGTTGTCAAGCCAAATCCAAATGGGAACAGGGGATCATAGTGCCGGTCGCCAACGTTCATGGGAAGCTGGTCGACGGACTTGAACCAAGTGCGGGGAAGCTTTCCGCTGAAACCGAAGTCACCGAAGAGGACGTCGGCGACACCTTGGCCTTCTGAGCCTGGCAGCCATGCGGCCACAAGCGCGTCCATCAAGGGCACGTATGGCTCGATCACGACAGGCCTGCCGGAGATGATGACCACTGCGCACTTCACGGGGCCGCACACCGCTCGGATTGTGCTTGGTCCAGGCTCAGCGATGGTGAGGTTGAGGCTGTCTCCGGCTGTTTCAGCGTAGGGTGGTTCTCCGACAACGACGATGGCATAGGAGAAGTTGTTGCTCTTGACGAAGTCAGCGTCGGGGTTCTCGGAGAAGACGATACTGGTTGCTGGGTCCGCTGTGGATCTAATGGCATCCAGGATTGTGGTACCTGTGAACAACATTCGAATGAGCATTTTAGTTGCTTCATATTAACATCTTTAGGCTGATCCGAAACAGCAACTTCAAGATCTTATTTCTAGTTTCAGAAATCTAGTATCAAGCTTGGTGGAAGCATAATTAATAGCTCACTATTTGACCTTCATTGGCGCAAAAATAAACATGCAGATTAAGAATGATACAAGAAAATTTATGTTGATACTGCAACAACTCAGAAGAACAAAGAGCGTTTGGACATACCAGCAGTGATTCTTCCACTGCCTCCTTGCCACTCAATTGTCCACCCACCACATTGAAAGCCCAAGTTATCAGCATGACTTCCGGCGACAAGGATTTTGTCGGCTTTCTTGGGCAGGGGCAACAACGGCTTCTTACCAGATTTTCCATTTTTCAACAGCACAAGTGATCTCCTTACGGCTTCCCTTGCCAACTCCCTGTGCTCCTGTATGCAGTCCAAGAGTTGTCAGGAGAGAAGACATTTTACCTTGTACTGGATTTGCTAAATTAGAATATGCTGATCACAAGCAAAGAGACTTCAAAATACAGCCGAATTACCTTTTTCCCGAGTTGATCGACTAGGCTTTTATCAGGCAGTGGGTTCTCAAAGAGACCCATGACAAACTTTACCCGCAAGATCCTTCTTACAGCATCATTAATTCGGCTCATGGGGATGACTTTGGCATTAACAAGAGTAGTCAGATTACTGATGAACCCATGATAGTCAAATGGAACCATCACCTGCAAACCACACCAAGGAGGAAATGTAGGAAAGATCTCAAGTGTGAAAAACTGTGAGATTTGCTTATCTTCAATTCTCTCGTTTTAGGAATACATGATGGAAGAACCACATATAAATTCTCAAGAACCATGCTGCAATTACTAATATCAAGCTTGATGAGAAAGTGAGCACGGAACACCTCCTAAAAAGAGCTACAAGTTTCTCAGCTGTAGCCCCCTCTACCAGTACTTGATATCCTCTGTCTCTGGTAGGTGGTTTTTGTCTTGTAAAAGCTAAATATGTAACGCATAAACAACAGGGAAGCTTTCTAATGTCTAACAGCAGTCCCTCCTGTTTTGCAGCTATTGCTATGCTAGATTTGGACGTTGTATTCTCATGCATTTAGTTGAACATGATTCAGAAGTGCCACTGCACTACGCAGTCCTTTTGATGTTTCCAAATGACAAAGTATAAACTAGATACTCAAAACGAGATATATCAGTGACAATTAATTAGTGATGACAGTTTGGCAATTGACTGCTCACCATATCGATTCCAGCATTTATTGATGTTTGGACAGAATATGTGTAATTTGCATCAGGTGGAGTGGTGATAAAATCAATGCCTTGATAGTCTGAAATCACGAATCCCTGAAAAATACAAGGACATTAAATAAAAACTGGTAGAATGAGTTGTGACAGATTGTGAAGTAGAAAATAAAAAGCACAGAAAACCACTTTAGTGAGCTCTTTTCAGACTCAACCTTAAAACCAAGCTTCTTTTTGAGGAAGCCAGTGATTAGATGACGGTTGGCATGCATTTTGATTCCATTCAAGCTTGAATAAGAAACCATGACCGAGGACACACCCTTGGCAATGGAATCATAGTAAGGAGGCATATGGATGCCGAGGAGTCCATGGAGATTGATGATAGTATTGTCCGAGTTAATTCCTTTTTGTGTTCCACCGTCACCAACAAAGTGCTTGGCGCAAGCTGCTATATTTTTCCTGATACAGATGTTATAAATAATTCATACAAGAATGTACGGAAAACATTAGAGAACATAAGGTTACTTGTGGGTTTGATATATTAGTATTATCATGAGCTAACACATATTATTGTTGGTTGGATTTTGAACCTTACTTTCCGGCAACATAAGGAAAGCCCTTTGTGTAGTTCGCAGGGACATCTCCCTGTAAGCCAAGGATAATTTGTGTCATTGCCTGCACAACCTTGTGATCCTCGCTATAGCTCTCGTAGCACCTGCCCCACCTTGGATCTCTACAAACCTGAATTAGGAACAACGAATATCAAAATGACAGGAAAAGATATACTTCTACAGTTCCAACTTATAACTTTGGATTCTGAAGCACCAGAAATGCACAAATCTAATGTTCCTATGGTGTTGAGTCGCTTACTGCAACACAGGGTGCAAAAGTGTAAGGAATGCCTGTTGCTCTGACTTCAAGGGCGGTTGCAGCACCAATCCTCTTTACAAGATCAGGATCCCTACAGATAATAATTTGCGAGCATGATGCCAGGATCAGGAATCTGAGATCAGTATGACTAATTGCTATGGATTTTACATAAAAGACACTCATAAACCAGTAGAAGACAATATTAAAAAGTGAGACTCTTAACAGGCACCATAAGGCAGTAATCCAATGTAGGGTGAGGAGAATAAGAGACTGACAGGACCAAGTCTCAACAAAATGGAGACCTAATAAAAGAGAATGGAGAAAGATAGGAAAAAGCTAGAGTGATACTTTCTCTTGACTGACGCCACTCAATGCTATACAGCAAAGCAGTATAACCTAAATCCTTCTTAAACTTCTGAAAAAAGGGAAATACTTATAACTCCAATATATTCCAATAGTAATTCAAAACTTAAATCCTCAACTTGCTTTCAAGTAACTACTGTTGTGTCATAAGAAAACATAAGGAATTATATCTTCTTGACATAGGTACTTGGTAAGACCCTTAGGGTTTTACCTTAGAAGAAGAGGAAGAAAGGGATAAGATCACTTTGCGGGGATCGACCTCCTAGTGTTTGCCAAAGGCTGAAAAGTATTTTCTTGATACCGAAAGAAACTGATATATCCCTATTTATAGAGTTCCATCCCTTAATCCACTAGGACTTGGACTCTTAATCAAAATAACAAATCTCAACTAGACTCTTAGCAGACTAGAAGGCCTAGTTGACTCCTAGTGGAACTACAAAACTCAAGAGAATATGTTCTTTACATTAGTTTAGGACTCGGAGAATTAAGGGGATCCTAACATTCCTCCCCCCTTCAATTCAGCCTTGTCCTCAAGGCAAAGCAGCATCAAACTCTGAGAACTTCTCTTTCAGCGTCTTGTAGGACTCCCAAGTGACATCTTCCTTTAGTAAGTTGGCCTATTGCACTAGCATTTCGATCACAGGATATTTGCGATGCATCACAACTCGTCGATCAAGTATGGCTTGCGATTGAACTTGAACTTCACCAGCAGCAGAGATGTCCGACAAATGGTGTTACACTATCACATCTTCACCTTACTTCTTTTTAAGGTAGGAAACATGAAAAACTGGGTGTATCTTGGAGCTAGCCGGCAAATCCAGATGGTAGGCAACTGGTCCAATACGTTCGAATACTTTATAAGGCCCAAAAAATTGAGGAGACGGTTTCATAGAAGACTGGACCTTTATGGGAGTTTGCTTGTAGGGCTAAAGACGAAGGAAAACCCAATCACCCATGACAAATTCTCGTTCATTTTGATGTTTATCAGCTTGCCATTTTATTCTTGCTTGTGCGACTGCGAGGTTATCTCTTAAAAGTTGAATAATCTTATCTCTGTCAAGCAATTCCTTGTCCACTTGATCAACTTTAGAGGAGCCGAGTATATATTTTGTAATTGCAGGTGGGGTTCGACTATAACTGCTTCAAATAGAGTCATTTTAATAGAAAAATAGTAAGAAATATTATACCACTACTTTGTCCAGGGAAGCTATTTACTCCATTCCTTTGGCTTGTCATTAGTAAAGCATCTGAGATAATTTTCTAGGCACCTGTTTACCACTTCAGTTTGCTCATCTGTTTGTTGATAATAAGCAATACTCATATTCAGCTGGGTACCCTATAAACGAAAAAGCTCCCGCCAAAAGGTGCTAATAAAAACCATGTCTTTGTCGCTAACAAAGTAACGATGGAACGAGGAATCCCATGCAATTTAGCTATGTTCACAACAAAAATACGAGCAACATTTATGGCAGTATAAAAATGTCGTAAAGCACAAAAATGAGCATACTTCATAAGCCGATCTACAACTACAAATATAGTGCTTTTTCCTTATGATTGTGGGAGTCCGTCAATGAAGTCCATCGATATGTCAGTCCAAGTAACATTAGGAATAGGGAGGC